ATCAGAGACCGAAGCCGACGACGAGCCTCGGTCACTTTGCATAGCTTAGAGTCGTGACACCTACCAGTGTCAATTAAGCGCGGCCATTCAAAGCCGCGCAGACAATGCCCTTCAGGGATAAGACGGTGAAAATCTTTAAGTATCTTAGAAACGCTGGTTTCAACCTGAGTATCGACTATAAGATTAACAGTATTAATGCAATTTTCCAAGCATATAGATGAGATTATCCGATTATCCAAATACTTGCTAATATCTGTTTCGTTATTTTATATTAAGTCTTTTATAATTATTATAAGTTTTTAATATAAATTTACAGTATACGTATATATGTATAATATTCAAGTACAAACAAATCGATATGTAGTTATCAATATGTTTGTACTTAAGTATTGTTAACATTTATATACAATGGTTATGTTTTTCTCAATTTAAATCTCATATTTTTTAAATCATATAACGCAATATCGTTGATTGAGAGGCACGATCAAAACTAAATAAAGTCGTATCTAATTATAATTAGATAATTATCGTTTTCTACTAATATACATGAAAAATTCTATAATTCGATTTAATAAAATATTAATAATAAATAGTAATAATGATAAATCAAGATGCATAAATTTTTTAATTAATTTTAATTTCATTTAACCTTTAAAAAAATTAAATTTGCATTTTTTCGTGGACGCGTCAAAAAAAGAATTTGATGTCTTTTATTGTTATATAAAACATCTGAAATTTTACCCAAGTAATATTTAAAATATGTTTTCATTAATATATTTTAATTTACTTTACGATAATTTCTCATGTTTTTTATATTTAAAATTATGTTACATTTTAATGAATCTGAAATTTTAATTAAGTATTTCATTTAGCATAACACGCACACACCGTTAAAAAATTACGTAAAACTCACGCAAGAGAATTGCAAAATATCACTCCGTAATAACGTTATGGTTGTTTTATAAATAATAAATAATAAATAACTAATACAATAGTTAATAATTCTCGTTTCTCTGGATTATTAAATATTAATACTAATAATGTATCAAGTAGAAAAAGATACATCGTTGGAAACTTAATAAAATTCTTTATGCGTGTTATTTGACAAATGTTACTACGTATTATCGATACTCGCGATAATCATTCGATAATTCGGCTATCTCGATGGAACTGAGAATAGTCTGTCGAAAACTTCAGAGAATGAAAGCCAACCACTCTACATAGTTTAGTGCGGTGACACCTCCCCGGTGTCAATTAAATTCTCGTCGCCATCAGACACGCCAAGTGGGCCGCGCGATGCGACTCTCTTGAAAACTTCGAAGATTCTAATTCCCTCGAGAACAGGAGGAGCTCGCGATTGAATCGGCAACGCCGGATCGTGTACATTCGCCGATCAAAGGCTGCCACCGATTGCTTCCTAATCTCCTTCGTCTCGAGGAAGTTGAGTCCATGTGGTCTTTTTCTGTACCTCCATCTTCATCTGTATCGTGGAACGATATGTCATGTCTGATCTCTATTAATGCTTTTTAGAGAGAAAAGTCTGCGTTATATAAAGAATGAAGACACGTAGATAATAGTATACTATTTTTTATTACTATAATACAGTGATTAATAGAAATAATCTGGAAATTAAATTGGTGTTCACCAATTTTAATTTTCCTCGTCAAAAATGATATTTCGATCGAGCTGCGAAAAAGCTTGTTACATTTTTTAAGCAATTTTATGTAAATGAATATATGATGAAATGCAAAATTTATTTCAATTGTGTGACTGAGAAATTTTTTTACGCTTACCTGTGACACTAGAGACGCGTTTGTAAAAATTTTCAAAATATTTCCCGCATAGTTTTCATAAAAGAAGAGTTGGGCCAAAAGTTAGACAATATACCGCAATCTCTTGATACGAAGTCCCGAAAACCTGGGCGAAACAATTTGTATGCTGATGACTATCTCCGTGGAGAATAATTTATAAACGATATTAAACCGTGTTCTCTTTTTAACGAAACACGCCACACGCTTGGTACCAACCAATCCAGGTAGACACACGGTAAAAATTGAAATTTATACTCTGGTAATGCTATCTGTCATCGCTACAATCATAGCACAGCTATGAAAATTGGTGCTATGCAAATTCAAATGCATCTCTATTGGAAAGCAATCAATTTTGCGATACAAGCAAAACGATTGAGTTTGATCGAATCTTATCTTCAGGAGATACATGTTATGAAGATATAAATTATTTAGTGCGTGCGTTCGGTAATATCGCGATAAACGATATCGTTAATAACCGCCTTATTATGTTACGTACAGATCTGATCGTCCTGATGCGGCATAAGATGCATCGCTCTCATGATCGCGTCGATTACTTAAAGCTCATCAACAGTATTTTGATGAAAGCAGAATCTTATAAAAATCAGGATGCTCGATAATACACCTTCCATCTTTTTTCTTTGTTCATTAAACTTCCCCTTTTTTTTATATATCTGCCACATATGTATAATATGATATACTGTACATTAATCATAAATAATACTTTTATGAATATAATTTCATGAATATTTTTATGAATATAATTTTATGAAATATATTTACGGTTTTAATGAATAAATGAGTAGAAGTTTAATAAAAATTATTCCGCGATATAACAAAATATTGTAGAATTATAGCAAGGACATTAAAAGATCCTTAATTGTCTGCGAAAATTAATTGACTGACTCTAATTCTTCTGACATAAATCCATCCATTCTATCGTGCGTGACTTTTACTATCGCGACATGCGTTATGACTCTATAAAACGCAATATTCAGCATCGTGAATCAACTTATTATTATAATACAGTCATTCGCATTCGCGGTCGATTCGCTGCCGAGCGACTCTCCTCGCTACGTATAGTTTAGCATACTGTAACACGAAAGCCTGTTCGATCCTCGTCGTGAAATAAAGTCACCGCCGCGCCATTTGTTGCGATTGTCCTTTTTCTCTCCATTCTAATCTTGTTCTTTTTATATTAATTTACTCATCCACGAAAGCGCTTACGTGACACGAAAGTCACCGCAAAACGCAAACATTCCAAATTACCGGGATAATCGTGATGCCACGATCTCAGTTTTTGACGACAACGAGCGCAAACACTTGACAGGAACTTTTTCTCTCGTCGAATTTATATATTATGTAAAACTATTTGAAGAAGAAGTAACCGCATTCAAAAGCCGTAACAGACTTCAAAGTTAAAGTTTCAAGTATTCTGTGTATTCTATAAAAATAATCAAATTAAGAACAATGAAACATTTTTGCCATGTTTTATTTTGCTACTGGCACTCTGTGTCATTTTATTTTATTTCCATTTGTCGCGGCATTAACGCTGTTGTAAAATATATTACAGATGTTCGTATATGTAAGTTATTGCGGAAAATTACGTTAAATGACGTATGATGACATGAAAACGACAACAGTTTGAGTTACGACGTGGTGAAACTTATGCACGACCGTCTAATTAGCTGTGTAATATCCCTAATTGTTGCACTGTACGAGAAATCGTTAGTCTGCTTGCTTCAAACGAGGTCATATTCATTAGCTTTTTATCTACGTAATCATTGGGGAATTCACTCGGTACCACGGTATAACGGAAATGCGAATTCATCGAAGGTACCCTTCATTTAAAAAAAGAAAAATGCACGCATGTCGTTATTAACTTTGTTATCTCGTCAATTTGTACCGTTCTTGGAAAACGATATTTTCGTACAACACGTTGTCACGAGTGTGATATAATTCTTCAGAAATATCACAGGAATGTCTAAATTAAAATATTATGCAAAATATTTTGCAAATTCTTATAAGCATACACGTGTGCATGTATATACATAATATTAATTTAAAACATGTGTATATATATTTAAATATATATATATATATATATATATATATGTAAATTTTACACATAAAATTTTATATATACATATAACTATTTTATGTATATACAAATATCAAATTTCATTTAAAAAAAAAATTTTATACGTGCTTCCTTAATGAATTCCAATACGTCCGTTGCTTCTCACACTTGCATTGCTTTATTTTGCGATCAAGAAAAAGCGCATCGTTGCATCTTCACACTGGCAAACCGTAATTATTACAATCGCTCGGCCGATCGGTCGAAAGATTAAAATTCCTACGCCACCGTTGCGCGTTCTTGTGCGCTTATCTTCTGGCAAAAACGAAACGGTTTCTTTCATTAAAGAGGCGGCTGAATCAAAAGTTTCTTCGTTATAAAATCGCGTCGATTAGTTGCATTCGTAAACGATCCGCGTTTAATATCTGTTCAATGTTAATCATTAACATTCGCTCTAGTGAGCATAATGATTGATTTCGTGCAGCAATAGAGAGGAGTTATTTTTCTCCGATTAAAGCTTGCCTATCATTATCAGTGTCATATAAGATTATTAACGAATGTACGAAAAATATTAAAAATTAATATTACGATAAAACTGCAGCTGACGTTTAATATGAAATACGAGAGAGAAAACCGTATGGAAATTAATAACCACATTCCTAATCTCCGACAATATATGTTTTTAACGTATCCATTCCATCGGCGTTCGACCATTTGTATTAAGAAATGATATTTCGACTATATTTCGCATAGATATTCATGCGTGCGATACAACTGTGTAACGGTAAATTCATCGTGCGTTAAGTTTATTTATTCATCGGTAATCACAGGCGCCGATATTGCCCATCGGATTTTTTATGCCAGGAAGATCATATATTTCGATCGCACGCTTCGTGAACGCGAGTTTTACATTCTGCAATTTTGCACGTTTTATTGATGAACTGTAAAAAATGAAAGTATGACATAATACATAGTTGTATTTTTAAATATATATATATATATATATATATATATATATATATATATATTATAATCATGTAAATTTTTTTTCAATTGAATAAGATCGAGACTGGAGTCAGGAAGGAGAATAGAAGGTCTAAGAAGTACAAGCAAGCTATGGAATATCACGATTCTCATGTTAGGAAGTTGGATCCATTTTTAACGTGCGCGACCATGTTTAAGTCCCTTCTTCTTATTTCTTTTTTCCATTTTTTTATTGCTTTTCCTGTTTTTTTTTGTCGACAATGAGGCTCGCATCGCACGACCCGAAGAAAGCCACGAAAAATATATGCGAGGGTTGAGCAAATTCCCGAAGTTTCGAGAGAACTGAGACGTGATTTTTATTTGGGCGAGAGTCTTTGATCGTAGCAGACAATTTAAAATTCCAATGGACAACAAACTTTTTGTCGAATACATAATCGAATTGTTAATTGAAGGAGCAGATGGACGAAGAAAATGTTTCGATATAATAATAATGCTTCGAGATTATAGGCTTTAGCGTTAAATCAATTATGATCGCGTTAATGTGTGACTTAATATTGTACAATGGATTCTTCATCCACAGGCTATCTTCACTAAGAACCATCACAGCACTAAATTGATAATACACTTTACGTATTGATTACGTATGATACAATAGGGAGTAACATTCATCCATACAAATAACTTAGCATGCGTAAGAATGTGACAAGCCTTCTTCATCCACTCGCCTGTTCAATTGCGTATCTGTACATATCGATCACTTTTTTGTTTCTGCACCGGAACATCGGAACTCGCTATCGCGCTGTATATTTAGCGCTAAATGTGGCAATTCTCATCTCGCTCAATTTATATTTCATTAACTGTGTTTTTCATTTTCTACAAGTAAAATTTTTGTATTTAAAAATCCGAAGAAATCATATTTAGCGCTGAATATAAGCAAGTTGAAATAGTATAAGTATGTACAACGTCGCCAGACATACCTGAACAAAGTTCATTAAAAATCAGTATACGCGAACTAAAAGAACAAAATCAAGAGAGAGGATTCTGTGCGTAAACTAGTAATAAATGATGGCGAAAGTTATAAAGATTTATGAAGAATATTTGCTTCGTCATTTTTTATCATCCGAATCAATCGCAGGCTCTATCGATTCGATCCTTCGAATTCCAATTTCCATTCATTTCAAATCATTCGAAAATCTTCTTTCGGATTTCCTCTGGGTCAAAGTGCTTACCGATTTTTGCTCATGAAAGTTTTAACGATCGCGGTATTCCATTAAAACAACCGAACCGAATATTAATTTCGTCTATGATAGTTGCATTCACGGCTCTGTTCGATTATTGCTTTCAGAACATTTCGCTTCCCCGTAATAGATTTGGATTTACAGGCATGTGTTATAGCGATGATGCTTGTTTACGGGTATCGTAAAATGAAACAAAGCTGATCAGAACTTCCAAAAGTCGATATATGATAGTTATGAAGTACATTTCTCCTTTTAATTAACGTACTCAGATGTCAAAAGTGTCTAATCAATACATTATTGTATTTGTGCAAGCATATTAATTGTCATTTAAAGTTAATGCATACTCTAGATATAAGAATTTGAAAATTACAGTTCGATAAATATCGATCGTTAAAAAATTGTAATTATTTTTATATTTCTTTATATATCAATATATTTCTCTCATTCAACTTAAGCGTTACATTGAAAATATCGAGCGACTGATTTACTTGATCCAATCGTTGTTGACTTACCTTTCGCTGTTACTGCATAATGGCAATAAATTATGCTGAAACGAGAACTCGACTTAGAAGATCCACTCGTCTTTCCCATTTTACGATACTCGACACTATTGCAGGATTGGAAACACGACGTGATAGCGATTAGTTGAATTACAACAGAGTGATTTTAGAATACGAATGAGGAAGCCAATCATCGATTGCACAACGGGATGATCGACGTTAACGCGAGGATGCATAACGAGTAGCATCGAGTCAATCTTTCAATTGTCGTTGCAGCCGTTTTGGACGTGCGCTGAATTCACGTTGCGGCAAACGATAACGGTCTCCTCATTCTCGGATCACATCGAGAATCCCAGACTCGCGAACGTTTTCTTCAAAAAAAAAAAATCACCGCGCTCCCGCAGACATCGCGCGATTTCGCTTTAAATCACCGTTATCTCCCATCCCGGATGTCACGTTTTTTCTCATTAGACCATTTCTATAGTGTTACGTGTAGCATTCGCGAATAATGTTCTCTCTGCTAAAACTGCGCGAATTGATTGAAAGTTACTCGATGTTCTATTAAATATTTAATATGTATCTACACCGATCGCTACTATTTATACAAATCGCAGACCGGATCGGACTTTTGGTCGGCGCGGATTAATTCCGGCCCTTTGTTAAATCCACGACCGAGTAAGTGAGCAGCTACTGTAAAACCTCATTTTTCCTTATGAAGAAAACTTTAAAATAAAAAAATAGCCCCACAGCGTCGTCATATTTTTGACGACAATATGAAAGAAATATCAATTTTGACAAATAATTTTTATAATTGGAATAGAGAGAAAGACATTTTTTATAGGCGACGATCACAAGCCCGACCTACTCCAATCTACCGGTAAAAGATCGAAAGATCGAGGTTATCCGTAAAATCCCGAGGAAGATCATCGAAAGCGCGCAAGATGACGAGAAGCTTTCTCCTTGTAAGTTGTCAAAAAAAGCACGATTAATTACAAATAATTATCATTCGAGTAAACCAACGAGAGAGCCGCTCGCCATCGTGTCGTCTCGATCGATCTCTTACTTTTAACGGACGCGAATTTTCGCGTGATGATGACGTGAAATTTCGAAAAATCGAGAGGATTCGGAAGTCGCGCTGAACCAATTCGCAGTTTTTACGCGCTTCTCTTTTCGCAGACTTGGCCCCGAGATTCTTCGAATTTGGGATTCTTTGCGTTTCTTTTTTTTTGTATTTTCGAGGCGTAAATCGGGCAGCATGCGTTTATGCATTTACGCGTCTCCTAATATCGTTATAATATAATATATTTATATAATAATTAGTACAGAGAGAGTGTAGATGTGTTATTTATATTTATATATAATATTTATATGTATAATATAATATATAATATATAATATATCACTAGGGTACATATGTACAAGGACTGCAAATAGTAGGAGGTGCTCTTATATTGCAATATCGTTCTCTGTTCTTTTCCCTTAAGACCTAACGTACACAGGTAGAACGTAGACTCACACGAGATACAGGTACGCGCTCGTAGACTCTCTCTTCCTCTCTCGCATTCATTTTCCTTCCATCTCATTCACCCTTGCGTCTCGTTTAAATTTACATTAACGCGTGATAGGCGCAACGTCGGTCGAGAGTCTACCGTATCCCGCCACGCGGTCTTTCAACAGAGATATAATCCTAACGCGCGCGCATCGCGCACACAGGTCTATTTACAGATGCAGGAAACACGCGAAGGACTCCTTGTCCTGTCCCGAAAGCACGAAGAACGCCATTTTCGCTCGCGAGCACGACTTCTCGAGCGCGGCGCTACTCCGGAAATAAAATTGCACTTTATAGTATGAGAGTCCGGCCATCCTCGCTCTCCTCCGGCGCGTCCAGCGAGAATCCTGGCAGACGATCGAGCGCGACAAAGATTCCCGAATAGAACAAGAAGGAAGAGGCAGTGAGAACCGAGTGCGGACCAGCCGACGTTCCGCTACGACGGCTCCGACGTGGAGTCCGGTTCCCTCTCGTCGGCGGAGAGGTCTTCCGGGTCGCCGCCGGACTCATCGGCGCAATCCTCGTCGGGATCGTCGTCCTTCGTACTGCTCACAGGTTCGTTCTCCTGTCACGGACTCCCTCCACCGGCGTCGTCGCCCCGATGTCCGGGCGTCAAACTCGGACTTCTCCGTCTCTTTTCCTGCAGCCCGTTCACCATGTTCTCGATGGACTTGAGCTCGCCGGCGGAACTGGGCGTTGTCGAAGTCAGAGCACCACCGGTAGGCGTCGGTGAGTCGGTCGGTGGCCTCGGCGGCGGCGATCTCGGGCTCAAGGTCCTGCTGCCGGGTGTCACGGTCTCAAAAGCGGAGCCGTGCGAAGGAGCTGGCAGAGTGTAGGGCGCGAATCTGTGACCTTTCAGCTGGTGCAAGGGACTCGCCAGGGGATGCGGATAGTGCGCGAAGAGCGCTGGATGTTGAGAGGCCGCCAAGGCCAGTTGGGCATTAAACAGCATGCCGGGTGTGACACCGCCGTGGAGACCCAAAGGTGTAGGTGGTATCAGATGACCGGGACCGGGATAGAGTCCTGGAACCGGCGGATACAGATACGGCAGCAGCGGTGGATGAAGCGGAGGTCCGACGGAAACATCCGGCCGTGGGCCCTCGGACCCGGTCGGGCCTGGCCCGCCGCCGCTCTCGGACCCGGACGACTCGCTGCCTTCGCCTCGCTCGCTCGTCCGATCGTCCCTTTCGCGGGAGTGCTCCCGTTCCCGATGATGGTGCGCCGGATGTGGCGTATCGGGGCCGACCACATCCAGCAGCTTGTCCTCGTCATCCATGAGATCGGTGGCGGAATTGGACGAACGTCTCTTGTCCGGCGACGCTGGTCCGCCAGCTGTCAAACGGGAACCGCCGCCCGATACTGTCAGTAGCGCCTGCCTTCTGCAACAACGACGCGGAGTTAGCAATCTTGCAAGGTTCAAGCGTATCGCGCTTAATTTACCCTTTAGATTAATTTTCTATCGCATAAAATTAAATTGAAAATCCATACATATTACTATAAAAATTAATGAGATTATATCGCGCTCATTTTATCTCGAAAACGAAAAGTAAATTGCGAGCTAAAACAGATGCGTTGTCGCTGTGATGTGCGAATATAAAAAAAACAATAACAGCTTCATATTTTTATATAGATTGATTATTGATTTATGGAAAGGCGTGGTTAGTAAAAGTTATCAATCGTAAAAAAAAAATGTTATAATGTAGCTGCCGGGTAAAATGGGTTCCGCCTTCGATATAATTTATCGATGTTCTAAGCTGACAATCTCCTTTGAGACGCGCTAATGCTCAATGATTACGGCATACTATAATTGGTTCCGAGAATATAACGAGAGGGCGGATGATAAAGTTTACCTCTTTCCTTGGCAGCGGCAATTTCAACGCTAAATTGTTTGCAACATCTCGTTGCGGTTTTGTTAACAAGCCGTATGCATATGTCTCAATCGAAAATATATGTATAATAAACAATGTGCGGTAGAAAGATACATGAAACATTGCAAAAACCGATCAATGATTTCAATCTAAACGAAGCGTAATAAATTCGACGATATTTTTACTTTATACGCACGCTAATTGCTATCTACTTAGAGTACACCACATATAAAAATTATAGCTTTCAATTTGCAACGTGAAGCAAAGTGATAGAGCGACTCTTTAAAATAATTTGGCAAATTTTGCTAAAAATAAACTTGTACCTAGAGTTCCGTGGAATTTCTATAAATGTAGTCCTGCGATTACGCGGGTCTTAAAATAAAAAAAAAGAAAATGTACAGCGGTATATCTTTCCGCTGAAATTAAAATACCGCGTTCGGGAGAAATAGACGCATGCGATCATGCGATCGCAAGGAGACACAGAGAGAATATTGTGTCGTAGAGAATCTCAAAAGGCCCCCGACGCACACGAGACAGCGGCAGCGCTCGCTCTCGGCTTACGCGGCGCTCGTCTCCGAGACGATAATTCACGCGAGGCTGGTCGACCAGAGCGATGCAGTAAACGAGGCCCCGGGATTTATGCGAGCGCCGGTAGCTGCATCGCCCCGAGGCGCGGCCGTGGTATTAGATTAATTATCTTAATTGCGCCTTCAACGCCTTTCCTATGCGCGCGCCAAGCGTCTAGCTCTCGTCGTTCGCTCGCGCGTGCGTTGCCTTCACGTGCGCGTATAACTTTATGCCACTCGCGGCTATTTGCACTTATAACTAGACGAGAGTGTGGCGCAATTCGCGCCTGTGTGTACGACGTGCGTGTAAGCTCGCATAAACGATGGAACACTCGAGATATACGCGAGGCACACTATTTTATATCGCTCTCCGCGTCGCGGTACGACGCAAAGAAGTTTTTTCCGCGAATCGCGAGGAGCCTATGTAAAGGGAATCGAGCGCTGATTTATCGCGCTGACATCTCTTGCCGCCTGTATCCCCGACAGTCATGATCATTTTTCATGGTGTCGCGCCGATGCCGAACGCGAGAGACCGTATCGATTCGCGATGCGCCGATCTATTCGCGATTTCCTCGGGGCAACGTGTTTCTATCACCCGATCTACGCGAAGAGTCGCGTATATCGCAACGTGATTTATCGAACTGCGCTCTATGGGCAGCCTCTACACAGGAGAAACCTAGCGGCTTTAATCATTCTTAATTAATCTACATTAGCATTTATGAATCCTTATACATTTCTACAGTTTGATTTTACAATCGATCCACACGCAGGTAAGAATAAAAATAACTAGCCGTGATTAGGGCTAAACGACATTCGATCATTTCCCGGCGAGTACAAATAAAAGTGGATCGTCATCGAGATCGCAGACGAAGGAGAAGGACGCGTATTTATTCGAGAATCCTATACACGGTGGCGAATTATTGATTTGGCGCGCTCTCGCACTTACAGAAACCAGAGAACCTGCACACCCCCTTTCAACGAGTGCATGTCACAGATGCATCCATGAGGAGCGTGCATCGCGTCAAGCGGATGTACCTCGAGCGAACGAAAGTGTTGTGTGTTAGTGAAATGATCGCATTACATGGCATTAAGGTAAGCCATACCGGTATACCTTTCGTTGTGCGAACTATAGCTGGGACTTACACGAGGCTTAGGTTTGTTCTGTCTGCACGAGACGCATTAGATGCATTAGATTTGCCCTATTCTCCCTTTCCCTTTCCTCCCTCCCTTCCGCGTCGCGCCCTTGTAACCCCGGCCCGTCATTCGACTCGATTGTCGACGGTAACGTACCATCGAGTTTCCTTCGCGTGATTAGAAACATTCCAGGAAATTTTGCACGAGCTCGCCCGAAAGGATCCGTGTGCGCCGATTAATTCTGGATCAGGTTGCGGAATCGAATATTTCGATTTGGCGCGATTATGAGAGACGTATTTGCGGCGCTTTTCGCAAGAAACTATTTTTATGGAAAATATAGAGACTGCTCTTCCACTCCGTCAAAATATTTGTGCAAGTACATAATGTTTTAAGCGAGCCGACAAGCGATGAATATTTTTGCATTGACGAAAAACTGCTAGAGATTACGCGGCAAGAAATACCAATGTTGACTCCTGCGAACAACGGGATATTTAAAATGTCGTTATCTGTTATTCTGAACACTAATTTTTCGACATTACCTAACGGGAAATTGCTCAACGAGCCTAGACTGATATTTTTCAACGAAAATCGAAGGTAAAGCCGGAGGCTAATCCGGCTAGTAATTATACCTTGAAGGAATGCTTTGTTGCATGCAGGAGAACTCGCAGGAATCCCAACGATTTTCGTTCTGCGGATAATATAATTAACTGCAAAAGTTAAGAGTAAAATACTCACTACTGGCTTCTCTCGTAGATTTCTCGACGCATCTCGATCCGTTCATTAATCAGAAATTAAGTAGCCGAATGTGTAAATATCGAATGTGTAAATTAATCCGGGAGACAATTGTCAGTGTCACGATTATTAATTTAATTCTCGCGCTAAATACAGGGATTACGTATCGTAGGAATTATGTATCGTTCACGTTATATGTATTAAAGGCGATAGTGGGAGTTTCACAAGCGAACGGAGTAATTCGCCGCGTATCGCAATGCGATCTTTCCACGGTGTATATGATGATAAATGACGTGACAACTCGCCGCACCGGCGTACTTTCTTTCATTTTTTTTGCCCCGTTCTTTTTTTTTTAAAGCACTGCAGCGAATCAACTCGTCACGCTCGAGTGGCGTTACATCTCGTGACGAAACGCGGCGTCGCGCGTTGTTAAAAAATTAACGAAACAATGCACCAGCTGTCAGTATCGTTTAACTGACGCTATCGCGAGTGGAAGCGATTTCCACAGAGTACAATCGTGCGCGGTTACGTATCTTGAATTATATAAGTGATCCAAATTATATTGCGCGAAGCTGATTTCCAACGAGATTGGTTTCGTTACACATTTGCGATCACTTTTATCGTCTCTTTCTTTATTCCACAACCCTTGTTACTTTTTCCGATATCGCTATTAGCGGTTTAGTATGAAAGTCTAGGATAGGATCGAAGGTATAGTGCGTAAAAAATGCATGGGGACATGCGCGATCGACGAAAGCGGCATCGTACGAGGATCGCCCACGCTCTCGAAGCGCAGTCTTTGTACAGCCACAAAACGATCTCTATAGAGCCAATATAAAATTCAAAGCCGCCAAGAGTGGCACCCTCCAACGTTAACGACAGCGCCGCCCCTGAGCATCAGTATGCTAATCCGATGATTGGCTATGTTCCAACCCCCGATCCCTCTTCTCACTGTACCACTCTCTTTCTCTCGCGATACGTCTCTTTGTCTCTTTCTGCCGGTATTTCCCCGTACCGTGCCGTCTCCTTCTCTCTTTCTAGTTTCCCTGTGGCTTCCTGATGGCATCCAACTACCCTTAACCGAAACCATAAGCCAAAACTAACCCTTATTCTAATTAGGCGGTACGGCGACGACGCGTCCCCCCCTGCTTTGCATATTTTCTCGATTAACCTCGCCCTTTCTTTATCCGCTCGACGTCGCCGACCACAATTTTCCGAAAATTTTCTGTTCCGCGCTTTGCACAATTTTTCTTCCTTCCTGCATAATGTAATATACTTCCTGCGATGATACGAGATTCGTCATAGATACTTAATAATTTTTTTCGCGCATGCATGTAGATATATTCGAAATGAAATTTTTCTGAAAATATATTCTCGCTAATGATGTAACAAGGATTAGGGACAGCTTAAATTGTTATGCATAGCGAAACTTAACTTCATGAAAATCCGCTTTTCACCCCGCGATCAATGAGATCGAAATGAGTTTCCATAGCGGTCTAGTGGTCCACGGCAACGGGCCGCAGCATCCCGAGGGGAACGCGCTCGCTGACATAAGCTCATAAACCCGCAATATTGAATACAAATGGACGGCACTGCCGGCGATGCGAAGTGCAAATGAGCCCTGTGAAACCAACCCTTAGCTCCGGGGGTGACCCTAAGGTCGGCATAATAGTCCCGATCGAGGGGAAGCTCGAAAGGTCTACGATCAATTAGGTCGACCCCGAAGACAGATTCGCGCTCTTTGCGCTCTTTACGAAGCGCGATTCGAAGAGAGGGCACATCCCTCGCTTTACATTTAGGGTAGTTTTTTAATCCGCTCTGCGGACGATTTTTTCTACAGGAGATTCGATGAAAGACGCTTAGTCTACTTTGATTCTCTTTAACTTTTTTTCCTAATTATTAATATTATATACTTTTTCGTGAAGAAATTGAAAATATGAAAAAGAATATTATATGTGTGTAGAGTAAAATAAATAATTTCTTTATACAGATATACTGTAAGTACGTACATCTATTTCGCTGTCAATTTTTAATTTCGGGAAAGCCGTAAAAAAAATATGCCGCACTTAAAATGCAGTTTTAAAAGCGATACTCACTTTTTCTCGCGCTTCCCCGCGCCAGTATCCCGAAATCCTTTCGCGAAAGGGTTATTATCGATCTTCAGCTGAGTGATCTAAACAAAAAATTAATATATATATATATATAAATTCCTTTAGAAAAAACATTTGTAAATTAAAAGACTTCTTTATTAATTTATATTCGCGCGTTAGGCAAAACGAGGTCTAAACGAGACTCTGGAGTTAATATTTTTTTTTCACTTTGTTTTGTGTTCAGCCGACATACCGAGAAGGCGCGATAATTAAGATAGTAGTATATAGCCGCATATATAAACGACCTAAAATCTCTGTACAAGGCCCGGTCTCTTCTTATACGAACACATGCGTGTATATGAACAACTCATTCACTACCAAAAATAATGTATACGGAGAAGATTCGTTATTCCACGAAACGGTCTTCACGTTCACAGCTTTATCGAGAGAGAGGCGAGAATGTAGAGAAATTATTAATTAACGAAGGAAGGCCCGAAGCCAAAACGGCCTGCTCTCTCAGATCGTAACGCGAGATTGCTTTTCCCTAACGAATTCTCGCTATGCGTGTAAGTTTTACTACTTCTACAATAAGGTGATGAAGTCTTAATGAATCAATGGGGTTTCAGAAAGATTCTATTTTTACATCGACGAAGTTTATAAAGTAAAGAAAAAAAAAAGTAAAAATTTTTCAACTTTTTTCAAAATCTTCGTACAACAAATATTATAAAATACAAAGTCGATGTTTTCCAAAAGATAGCTTTGATATTTTGAAATTAATCTGATAAAGATTTTTTTTCACGTAGGAGAAATTTCGATGGTCACTTACTTTTTCATTTTGATAGGCCGTTACAGCGATGAATTCCGTCTCCTTGAAAACGTAACTCCTAAACGTCGAATACGGAAGTTTCAGAATATCGTTGGCTCGCACGAGGTGAAACCTCGGCTGATACTTGTGCATCGAGTTCAGTATCGTCTGTAATAAAAAAGGGGGCATACATTGGGACAGATTGTTTTATATTAACTTTGACAAAGAACGTTTGCAATTAATTCGCTCCGTTCGTACTTTCAGACCAATTATTTGACGATGCAATTCTATATCACAAAAATCTCTCTTTATAAAGCTTCAAGTTAAGAAGGCGTACAATGTTGCAAAACAAGTTTTTTAAAGAGCCATATAAATATTTTCCAACATCTTTATAGAAAATGTATTTCATTTTAGTATTTCATTTTATTTATCATTATATTCGAAGCGTTCCAATTAACGCAAGTCACGGAGTTTAGAATTTTCGTGATTAGCCATTGCGAGAGCGTGGTCTGAGAGTGATCTATAGCACGATGCAAAATTAAGAAACAAAAGCGGCACGAGACACGAGAACGATTTTGCACGAAGAAAAATATAGAGAGATATGTCAGATTAAAAAAGTGTCAAGAAGGTGTCGCCGTTAATCATACAATCAGAGAGCGTGCACTCTTTCTCCCCCGTTAATTAATCTTCGTGCAAGTATTTCATAAAGTTCCGTGCGGGCCAAGAAAGAACCAGCTTGGCAAAGCTATTACAATGATGCATCATGCCGGGTTGATCGATACAAAGTCTGTAAACGCAATCGAGTTTTACGAGCAAGCTTTGCGCGATTTTATCGCTGCCGACGATGACGATTTGCAGCCACATATTTGCATTGAAAACGTAATTATTTGTCGAAGACATCCCCTTTATTAGCACTCGAATGATATACTAATGGACAGAAATGACTATGATAAAATGGCCGCGTATTTACCCTATCTACAATAATGCGTACACGTTTCGATTTATCGTCGCACTTGACGCCAAATTATCATTGTTAAGCGGCATAATACAAATTTGCCAAATTATCGAAATAAACGAACTCCCTGATTACGATAATTTATCGACCTCGGCCTCGCGATTAAAGCTCGCGTTATCCAGAGCGGTAGCCCATCGATCTTGTTAAACGGACGCGAGTTACTACTCGCTCACGAGGCTCACGTCGTGTCCGAGCAAATTTGCCGGTGCACGCGTGTTGCTTTTATTACGAAAGGACTGTTCAGAATATTCCAGCACGCGAAACGACAAGGGTGAACGTAGCCCGCGCACGTTCGTCGCATGCGTAAAGAGAGAGAAAAAGATTAATAGGTGAACGGTAACGAGTAAATTATCGGGAACGTCTGCAAAAATGCGAACGATCGATACTACCGGCAATCGTGTCTTCATCGCTCGAATCGAATCCACGGAAATGGATTCTCAGATCCGCGACGGGCCGTCACTTCCGATCGGTCGCTTTCGCGGAGTCAAGACTCGATCGTCGTCGGCATAATTTATATATAGCGTGGTTATTGACGCGCATACATAGTGATCGATAGGCACGCTCCAAAACATGGCCGACGTAGTTCTGGATATCGGTCGCTCTCTGGGGGGGCTTTTTCAATCGAATTCCCTTATTAATTCAATGGAACCCGCAGTCTCTCGCTGCCATTTCGCCAAATAAAACATATCGATACCGCGCTTATCACCCGTATATCGTGACTGAATCGCATAAGCGAAGGGGAGGCGAGATTAATTTCAATGAGAGGCATCGAGAAACCGGTTCATCCGCCACCGCGCGAGAGCTCGCAGGGTTTCTATTAAACCAAAAACAATTTTCACTTTTGTCAAAGGGAACGCTTATTATCAAAGATTCGCGGTTTGTCTTAAACCGAATCCTAAGAGCTTGGAAGAATCAATGAATTTCACGAAGATGACTATAAAAAAGCTAAACTTCGTAAGAAATTATTCTAGATTATTAGATCTTTCTAAAAGATGAACGTTGTACTACAATCCAAGTTTCGCCATACATCGAGAACAATGTCGTTAAAGTACATAATACCAGGTTAGTCTATGAACTAGAAACACCGAGTTAGACATGCCAAGAATTGTTCGCGGAAGACTTAAAATTTTTACAGTATTCTGTAATTAACTGCGAAGGACGGATTATTATATAATGAGAAATGTACAACTATCGCATTAGAAAATATGTCGACAATATGTGACATCATGCAACAATTTCTAGTTTTTCCTAAAACTAGAAGACAAGCCCCATGACAAAATTAGTGCTTGTACGAACCATAATGCAAAAGGGGAGATTAAAGAATCGAAAAAAACGAGTATATATCTGACGCATTAATTTATTATCATTCTCATAAATAAAAATTCGCGTCCAAGTGAGTGATCTCGGGCCATACGAAAAAAAATAAAAATCAGAAAACTAAAAATCATCGGAGGGGAGGGAGGGGGTAATTAAGGATCTGCCACTTTGGAGTACATGTAATTATACATGAAAGAACCGATTCAAGATGCGCACATCGTCCAATCCACGAGAAATTCACGAGCAATTCACGAGAAATTCACGTCGCGCGCGCGGTAACAAAAAAAAATTCACCGTCACGCTCGTGCGTATAAATCGCACAGGATACGTAAGACGGAAAGAGAGAACCCGCTCTCGCTCGTTCCCGCGCGGACGCCATTATGCGCGGCACGGCACAAAGGGGAAATAATTAGCGCTGGCCGGGTGATAAGCCGGCAATCTAGGCGTTTGTCATTAGCCTATCAAAGCCGAATGCTTCTTTTCTTTTTTTCTCTCTCTCTCTCTCTTTCCCTTCGCTACCGTCACCGACCGCCACTGGTGTCCCCCGTCTCTCTCTTCCGATCCCTTGCGCGGTCACCCCGGCGGTCCCCTCGTCCCTATCTCGTTTCTCGTGGACCTTCGGCCTCGACACGCCTCTGGCGCCGTGGAAAATATGTGCGAACGTCGATCGGAGCAATTAGTATTTCTCCGGACTCTAATCTGGGCTCGCTCGAGCGCGGCGAATGCGCGTCTTTCGCGGTGCATGTTACCTGTGCAACATATCGGCGAATGGGGGATAAAAAAGAGAGACGGGGGAAGAGAAGGGTATGGCTTGCGAGAGAAGAAAAGGGAAGGAGGGGGCTAGCATCGCGAGATGCGCCTAGTTTAAGAGAGAAAGAGAGAGTAAAAAAACAGAGAAAGAGAGAAAAGAGGGGAATGGAAAGAGACGGTTGTAGGATAGAAAGTAAGTGGTAGGATCTGAAGCGGTCCGGTGTGTATATCGCGCCGCGTGAATTGACCGGCCAGATAAAACCGCACGACGGAGGAGAGGACGGGGAGGGAGCGGGTAGAGGCAGAGAGGGACGGCGGGAGAGGAAAGTGAGAGAATATCTCGACCGACACAGAAGCCGACATTGCTAATGACTCTGTCCGCGGTAATCTCCGGGTGTTATCTGTCCTGGCTACCTGGGGGCCCACCTACTTCGAATCACGAACCTGCACACGCTGCTGCTGTTGCGTCTCTCTTCCTCGCGCGTCTTCTTTATGCTTCTCTTTCTCCCTTCTCCCCCCCTCCCCTTTCTTGTCTGCTCATCCCTGCGCCATCAGAATCACGGAATCCAAGGATCTCTTTAGATGCGCCGCTTTTGAGGCGACGTGATATACATATCTTTAGTACATGGTCCGATAAAAAAATTTATCCGCTTAACAACTTTGAAAAAAAATCTATTATTCTGATTTTAAATTACTTTCTCTTTTACACAAATAATGCTTAAGAGACGTGCAAAAAAAACGAGAGTAAAATAAATTGAAAACTTAAGAGAGATTAAAGAGATCGACGCGTGGAGAAGACAGGGATGAAATAATTCGTCGTCGGTCAGCCGAGAACGCGAAGGCGCGCAACAAAGCCTCGCCATTACTGTCTTTAGTGTTTGGTCAACTGATCGTACAGAAGAGCAAACAAATCTCTTGGGCTGAAAGGGCCTGCCTCGGTGAGACACTGAAAATAAGGACTTTAGCAGCACCGGCGGTGGTATCGCGAAATTCTTTCACCGTAGCGAGGAGCAAAAAGCCAAGTGCAGAACGCGCTTCGACGTATTGCGAAGATGAGAACTGTGAACTGAAAGATAGGACGCGCTAGAAAGAGAGAGAGAAAGAGAGAGAAAGAAGAGGAAAAAGGCGGCGCTTTTCACTTTGAGGGTCAAGGAGTTGGCCGATGGTCCAAGGATTACTTAGCCGTCGGTACATCAGGTAACAGTGCATGTGCGGTTTAGTTTGCAGTCATTGCGAATGCACGTATCTCCCGTATGTGCGCACTCTCATCCGCTTACGTACACACGTGTGTGTACATACGATCTTCGATACACACACGCACACATATATATACATTCGAGATCGAGCAGGATATCTGAACGAATAACGCGAGAATAACGAGAGAAAAGATATACTGGTATAAAGTCATCGGACGGAAAAAGGAGAAAGGGGTGGTTCGCGTATATGATACGATATGTGGGGGAGTGAGCGAGAAGGAGCGAAAGAGGGTGGTTCTTGACGACGAATGTGGCGCTACCTCGGCAGAAAGCGGCAGAGGAGTGAAACTTTTCGCCGAAGGCGAGGGTGCGAGCGAGACAACTGGCTTGCCATGTAAGGGTGTGACGAAGAAAAGACGAGGAGGCGGCGGGGGTGGAACGCACCGGAGCGGAAAGGGAAGGTGGTGGTAAGGTTGGTCGTCCTGGTATCGACCGCCTGAAAAAGGGGTGGATTTTTCTATCCCTGGGCGGAGGACCCGTCGTGTAGGAGGACGTGTTCCGGACGCGAACGCGACTGGCCCATCTCGGGACCTTCGTCACGCGGAATAAAAATAAAAGTGGACTGTCTCGGCAATATTTCGTTGCATTTAGTAATGCGGCACAAAAATAAATTCCTTTACTTCGCGTCATTAATCACAAAGAGAAAAAGAGAAAGAGAAAGAGGGAGGGAGAGAGAGATTGAATCTTTTAATATAATTTAACTTTCGGATAGAAAAATGAAATTTTGTTAAGAAAAAATTATTTTATGAATTTTAATAATTCCATAAATTCATGAAAAAAATCATGAAAATTGAATTACAAAACGGTTATCATCAATTAAAATCAAAGAC